GTTCTACTTTGGTCTCATCTGACCACATGACTTTCTCCCATGCCTCCTCTGGATCATCCAGATGGTCTTTGGCAAACTTCAGACGGGCCTGGACATGTGATGACTTGAGCAGGGGAACCTTCCGGGCAATGCATGATTTGAAACCATGACGGCGTAGTGTTCTACCGACAGTGACCTCTGAAACTGTGGTCCCAGCTCTCTTCATGTCATTCCTTACCTTTCTTATCATCAGTGATACCCCACGAGGTGAGATCTTGCATGGCGCCCCAGTCCGAGGGAGACTGACAGTCGTCTTTAGCCTCTTCCATTTTCTAACAATTGCTCCAACAGTTGATCTATTTTCACCAAGCTGCTTGGCAATTGCCCTGTAGCCCTTTCCAGCCTTGTGGAGGTCCACAATTTTGTCTCTGGTGTCTTTTGACAGCTCTTTGGTCTTGCCCATGGTAGTAGTTGGCGTCTGACTGACTGTGGGGTGGACAGGTGTCTTTAAAGAGCTCAGACAGGTGCTACTAATTTAGATTAATGAGTGGAGTAGAGGTGGACTTTTTCAAGGCACAGTAACAGGTCTTTGAGAGCCAAAATTCTTGCTGTTTCTCAGGTGTTCAAATACTTATGTTCAGCAGTGCTAGACAAATAAATTCTTTCAAAATCATACAATGTGATTTCCTGAATTTTTTTTTTTTTTAATTCAGTCTCTCAGAGTGGGAACGCACCTACAATGTGAATTTCAGACCCCTCCATGATTTCTAAGTGGGAGAACTTGCAAAATCGCAGGGTGTTCAAATACTTCTGTTCCTCACTGTATTCATTCATCATCTACAGTTTGTCACAAAGTATTTTATGGTCCGTCTTGTCCGCCCATGTTTCCCAAATAGTGCTCAAGCCAACTGTTCTGTCAAGCTTCAGCAAAAATGTAAAATCATAAATATCCGCTAAAAACTTAGATCCTGATATTCTTCATGATCTGTCACCTCCATTTTTCCAATGCATATCTGATTTTTGAGAACTATTTTCCTATCAAAATTGTCATATACACCATCAGGACCCATCAAGACTATATACAGCAACCTGATCATCAGATTGAACCACAACAGCAGCAGCAGTTTGTAAAAGCAGCTAATAGTTTAGACAAAGAATTTTTCTGTAATTTTCTATGGATGTACTGTATCTTGTTGGCTAGCTATGAAGGAAAACATCACCATGGCACCATCCATTACCCTGCTGTCAGGTTGCACAATATTTCCAATACAGCTATTACTGTAAAGGTTCGTGTGACAACCACAATAATGTTGAAGGAATTTTATCCATCTGGGAAGGAGACACATTAACCTTAAACTGATATTTAAATGTCAAGGGAGTATGTGTGTATGTACAACGAGCACATAGAGGATGTAATTCAATAGAGGCCTACCCTTTCCAGCCCCACATTATATCAGATTATGCAGTCAGAGATGACTGATTGCTGGGGCCAGTGTTTCATCAGTTAGACCCAATTACCACACGGCTCCAGTAGCACACGACCTCAGCCCTCTCAATTAACTCAGCAATGTTGTGTGTCTCACAGAAGACAAGATTTTTCAACTGCCATACAGCCGTTTTGTTAGAATAAAACAGGAAGTAAAAAACAAACAAACAAACAAACAAACAAAAAAAAACACGACTTAAAGTTTAGGTGTGCACACGCAAATGTTCATATGATGTTTGGATGTTTATGCTTCCAGGCGCACATGTAGTGAAAAGGGTATGGCCTTGCTTTGTAGAAGTGAAAACCACAATTCAAGCCAATGTTACACTCTACAGAGTTAGACAAAGTGCTGTTCCTGTTTTAAAGACTTATTGTAAGAAGCCAAGAAAATGCTTTATTTATTTAGTTATTTAATGATTTGAAAAAAGAAAATCTGTGGTAAAACCTATTTACACATAAAATAAAATAAAAATACCATCAAGAAAAAAAAAATTTTTTAAGGTTCAGTTTATGGTTCAAACTAATATTTGTTTTCACCAACAATGAATCATTTCATCTATGAAATCTCAGAAGATATTAACCATCACAATATCCCAAAGCCCAAGAAGACAACAGTCTGAAACTCAAACATATTCTCTAAAGTTTGAAACTTCATATCTTTTACTGTTCTTTTTATGTTTTTTTCTGAAATCTTGTTTGACACATCCTGTTCTGTTCTGTTCTGTTTGTTAATATTAAAAGCAGTAGTATGTTTTATTACTTTCATTCAAATTTATGTCACTATGATAGTTATTCCCTGTATGCACTAAACAAAAACAAAAAAAAAACAAAAAACAAACTACTTGGCAGCATGGCTTTTTGTATGTGCTCATGTGAATGAACACAGGTCTGGCTGAGAGGTCTGGACTGCAGTCAGTTAAGCTAATTGGATCTCCAGATGGTCACTGGGAGCTCTGGGAGTCAACCAAGTTACAAGTCCAAATGCTAAACCCTACACTGGGCTCTGTGACTGTTTTTTTTCATTCTGTCCAAAACTGCAAACCAATGAGCATATGCACATCCATCTTAATATTTGAGTAAAATAACTCATTCACTATAAATGCAGCTGAAGAGCACCTAGGTCTTGTGCTCAATCTGATCCTGTCTGTGTAGAATTTCTGTTTTAGTCTTATGATTATCCTATTCCAGGAAAGAGGAAGATCAAGTAACTCAAAATTGTCAAACATGGTCTGCTTATAACTGCTGTAGTTTTTCCACATCCAATAAAAATACATTTATTCCGATATCTCAAGGTAGGCACCTAGAGCAGGTGGCAGTGATGACTGGAATTGATTTTTTAGGGGCAGCCTTGTCTCTGCTTTTAACTATATTTAAGGGCTCAAGCTTTACAATAAAAGCCGCAGGTCCTCTCCAACAAACACTGGGCCTGGATATTTGTAATTTATATTACAAATAGCTTCTTGCAACGACAGAGAGTCCCTAGCGCAACCAAATATTGGTAAACTGAAGAATGGGATTCTACAATTTTTTCAGTTGATGAAAAGTCTTGAAGGGTGTTTTCACACCTGAAAGTCTGTACCGAGATTCATGTTTTTGTCAAATAATATACAGTACATGTGACAAAGTTAGTTTTTGTTTCACACTGAAATTTTGTGAGCGCACTAAAGAACTTTGCGTGACATACCTGTCGTCACAGCCTGCATCTCCCTATACATGACACTGACTGGTTTGTAGATGGGCGTGTCTGACATCACTGTGTTGTCGGCTGGTAGCTTTGTCCTTTGGAAAAGAAAGAAAATGAATGAACAGATTCATTTCATTGCCACTATAGTGTTGTTACCAGCAGCACCAACTTCAAGCATAGGACTCGAGACTAGCTCAAATTCGCCATTTAAACATCATCCCCAGACGCTCCTGTGGCTCATTTTTAATTCTCTTCCTTTTGTTTTGTTCCTCTGTTATTCAGGTGATGATAGCCCACCTCAACTTCCTGTAGTTCATCTGAACCATCCCATCAACTTCACACCAGAAACAAACCTAACCAAACCACGGTTCAGCTTTCCAAGACCATTTCTTTAGGTCTTCCCAAATTCTCGTCCTTTGGTCTGAGGCATTTTTCACACCAGCTATTTTGATTTGGACCAAATAAAGTGATAATCTTAAAAATCAAGTTGCCATTTTGGCTTGTTGTTATAGATCAGTGATGACGTACTATATATTAAATTTACAGCAAAAGAAATAAGGAAATGGTGTGTGCATTATTCAATCTAATCTGTTTGTACATCAGTGTCTCTGGTTTGTTTTCTGTCCTGTCCTCATCTTCCTGAGCTGCTGGCCCTTTGCTGCAGCAAGCAGATGTCATGTTGACAGACCACAATGAAGATAATGCAATGTCCTGGTAATTCAGATGCTTTGAGAGTGTGCTCATTCAGCCAACATGGCTATAACAGTTTACCAGTTTGAATCAATACACCATCTGTGGCATTCACACGGCTTGATTCAGGTCAAACCACGAGTGAATCACAGCTGAGATAAAGCAGCCTTCTCTGCACCAAAAAGACAACATGAAAAGAATGACTGTTTCAAAATGTTGCACAATATTCAGAAATGCACCAAACACTTAAAACAAAAATCACAATTAAAAATGGAAAACATGATAAAGGTGTGGCTACAGACCCTGCCAAACCACAGTGAAATATTCAGGAAGCTGCACTGATCTGGCAACCCATTCTGAAAGCCGGCGTGGACCCTCTGTGGGCAAGGCGTCCCGCTTTCCCTCTGCAGCTGCAGCCAGCAGCAACACCAGCAACAAAAAAGGTATCACAAATGTTCCTCCATGCTTCACTTGCCAGCAGCACTGCATGAGCTGAATCCATTACTGAAGCCAGTACATTTAGACACACAGCAGAAAGGCATTATTCATGAACAAAAGACTGTTGGAAAGGCAATTTTCTTACTATCCATAGATGAAACTCATCTTTATTACACATAAATATATTGATTTTTTTTTTTAGGAAACCAGTAGGGAAAATTGAGTTGAAATAGTGAACTGCATTGACACTATTATATCACACAAGAGCTGGATTGAAACATGCTGAATTAGCCGATTATAATATGCCTCAGCTGAGTATTTGATTTTGTATTGCAATGCGTGAAAAATCTGTCACATCTAATAAACACAATGAAATCAAAGCTTTGTTCCTCTGCGTATGTGAGGCTATCCTTAATACACTGATTATTATTCCTAAATTACATTAAATATTAAGTGTGTTCATAAAAAAATGATCACTTCAGCTTACATAATGCATATTAAAGGATTACAGTATACTTTAAACATCAATATCTGATGTTGCATACATTTATCAGCTTGTGTTCAATATCAGAAAAATATTCTTAGCTTTACACCAATATTGCCATTTACTGTATGTTAACCAGTGTAAAATAGAAAAGAATAATACAAAAATCTCATTTGGTAATGTAGTACAAAAGAAGCATTATGCTGGTGAAATGCATTTTTTATTAATGAAGACAGCTGTAGCAAACATGAATAAATGTAAATAAAGGTATGCTACTGTAATTTTAACTGCTGTCATGCTCCACTGACAAACAGATGACTAGAAAATTTGTGGGGCACTCTGTGTGTGTGTGTGTGTCTGCAATTCAAAAGTGTGAGCTGAGCAAGTTACTACCCGTCTGGCGGCCGGTGCCCAAGGGGCTGACAAATAAGATCAGGCCCGGTGGTGCTGCTTATTAGCAACATTTGTACGGGACCTCACCTGTGTGTGTGTGCGTTCCTCTGAGTGTGTGTTTGTGTCTGTGTGTGTGTGTGTGTATCGCTTAACATTTGAATGTGATCTAGGGAGCTCACCTTTGCTAGACTTGCAGTCAGCATTTCTCACATGCAGACGCAGTTCCCAGGTTGGCGAGCAGCTAATGGTCCCTTAATACCTGCGACTGCTGCACTCCTCACCATGATAAGTAACTGCTCTCTAGATCGTCATTTCATGATGACTGGAGAAATGTTGAGTATACCTTCAGGACAGTGCTGAGTTGAGGCAGACCCAGTAGTTTGAATGTAAATGTGGATAGTTTGCCTAGATTATCCTGAACTTGCAGAAAACTGTTCAAGGACTGAATATATAAGTGCACTGCTGATACTGGGAGTTATAAACTACCTCTCCCATTAAAAGACCATCCTCCCACTTACATCCTCCATCCTTGCACTCTTTTGCTACTAACATGCTGCTGACTTGATTAGGTCCCATACATCCCTTTTTATTTGCTCATTGTTTTACATTGACTTATACAAATGTGTGTTATGTAAATAATGTGTCGTTTAAGAAAAATTGTGTCGTTTAAGAAAAATGTTTTGTTGTGCTATGCATAATGACAATAAAGATTCCTGACTTGACTTCTCACACACCCAAGAAAATAGCATCAAGTACAATGCACACTTACAGGCACACATACAGTAGCAATCTATTACTAGAAATCAAAAGTCTTGCCTTGTAGGTCACTAATAATGGCGTGTTTTTTCTGATTTGATGATGAAGGCAAAACAGTGTTGCACTTGGTGTACTGCAGTATCTGGTGTACAGAGTTTGTTTTAATAATCTCACATGAAACAGGAAGCTTTACAAGACAAAGGCAAAGTTTTGGGGGGAATATTGGACATCTATAAAATACTATAAAATATAGATTGTTTAAATATAAACTGTACAGATCAGAAACTATGACTGAAGACTAGTCTTAAGTTATAGTAACCTTACTGTACAACCTCTTAACACATACAGTAACGTCCTGAACACTACAGAACTCAAACCACATCAGTCTCTGCATGTGAGCACAACCAAGTCAGACACAGCTCAACAGCCTTGTTACAAAGACATGACAAATTTAAAGCAATTCCTTGTTTATATTTACCTTGCTGGTTCACACTGTGGGCCCGATTATCATTAGAAAAAAAATGTGCAAATTAAATCATCAGCTGAGGCCGAGGCCAGAAAGCGAGAGGGAGCAGAATACAGCCACCATTAGGTTAATGAGCTATGAAATGAAATGTATTTCTTAGCCTGCAGCCCACATCCTCCTAAATATCAGCTAACATGGCTAATGAACTTTACACTGCCATCAATTACTGGCAGCCCTAATGGCCAAGCAGGATTTTAATATGGGGGGTGGGTAGCAAGTGAGAAAAAGAGATGCAGACATGCCTATAGAGACAGGCAATATATTTAATCCAGCGCACAGTATGTATCACATTTATTTAGACAGACGCTAACCAATAGTAAACAGACATTTGTGAATTATTATTGAGTTTAGTGATTCTGACTTTAATTATGAGCAGGGAAAACTAAGAAAAAAAAAAAAACAAGCAATGTAAAAGAGGAAGAAAAAAAATCTGAGTTCACCTTCAAATCTTCACATTTTCAATAAAATTGTTCCCAGTGTTTAAGGTTTGTTACTACTGTTAAAAAGATCATCACTATGCTTTACTGAACATCTCTCTCTTTGTGCATGTGGCCTGTTTCTTCTGCACTTTTGGTTTCACATGTATATCACATGGCAATCAGCAGGTTCTCCCAAAAGTTGATTTAGGCCTCACCCACCTGCATCTGCCAACTAGTGCTGAAACTTTGTTACACACCAAGAAAGCTGAAATCCTAAACAGGGAACATTTACATACGATTCCCTGTTGGCTTACTCAGTGTAAACAAAACACATGGCTAACTATATTACATGGTGTGCAGGAAAACAAGTCCCCAAAAAGCATGGGATAAACTAAATGCCTTAATTTTAATACTATGCTCAGGGTAAGTTCAATGTATTTGTATTTGATGAGATAATATTGTGTTATTTATCTGTGACATTTGGAATTTTATACAAGGATAGAAATGATTTTTCAAATTAAATCAAATCAAATTTATTTATGTAGCACTTTGGTCAGCTGGATGTTTTTAAAGTATTTTACATGGCAGAAGAAAATCACAATAAATGACTAAAATAGAATAAGATCAGAGCAAAATAAAATAAAAATAAAAATAAAACGGCACAATAACACAGACACACAGTTAACATTCATTCAATAAATTAAAATTAAAAGGAATGCATCAGGCCCTACTGTGTATTAAAAACCAAGCAAATAAATATGTTTTAAGCAAGGATTTAAAAGTAATGAGGTCAGTAGCTGACCTAGCATTAAAAGGTAGACTATTCCACAATTTAGGGGCTGCAACAGTAAAAGCACGGTCACCCCAGCGTGTATATCTTTGTCTATTTTTAAAACCATAAGAAGATATTTATATCAACTTAGGCTGAGGGGGTTCCTTATAAATATCAAATTAACCCTGAAAAACCAAGGAATTTAGATAAAGTGAATTTGAGCTTAGTGAATTAACAATGGGCATCAAAACATTCTTCACAAAATAAGGCACATGTATGGATTCAGTGATACTGGATCATTTTACTAGTTTTATTCCACATTCTTCTACATGCATCAGCCACTGATACACTTTGAGGAATAAGTAATCAACTTTGCAGTATGAAGTGCAACCTTTCCAAAATCTTCTGAACATGCTGTGTGTTTTGCACCAACTAACGCACACAAATGTACAAATACTGTAAGAGAGAAGCTGCAGAAGCACATGACAGACTGTTAATTTCATTGAATGTTTTCTCTCAGGCTGAGTTTGCTATCAGTAATTACTCTGTAGTGTAAACAAAAGCATGTACAAAGACATGAAGTTGTCACACAGAGTAAAATGAACCACACACAGAAA